AAAATGTATACAGGAGACAGGGAGTACTTAGATAAAAAAAACGTGTTAAAATATAACTAATTTCCTTTCCTTACTCCTTTGCAGCATATTGATAACTTTTTTCAAAATTATAGTTGCTCTTTATACCTCAAATCTACCTATGGGTTCAAACTGGCCAGACCTTGCTAAATAAAAAATGCATCTTTTGCTGCAACACCAATCTTCTTCCCACTGCAGTTATCATACATGCAACACTGCGGAGGGGTGTAGGAGTAAAGAGCTATCGAAGTATCGAAGAGGGCTGAAAAGCTTAACTATTGGGGAGGTTGCAGAGATAAGTTGTAGAATAGGGTGCAGAGGTGAGCTGTGGACAGGAGTTAGCTATGACAAGGGCAGCAGAAGTGAGCTGTGAAAGGGGGGAATTTTACGGAGGTAAGCTGCAGCCAAGGAAGGGAGGGGTGCATAGGGGAGTTGCAGACAGGGATACAGAGGGGAATTGTGGATGCGTGGAGAGGTGAGTTGTAGACAGAGGGGTAGAAGCTAGTTGCGGATGGGCGGAGTTGCAGAGATGAGCAGCAGAAACAGGATCACTGGATGACGTTTTTAGCATCTGGACACCAGGCGGCAGCTCAGCATGTGATGCCCCCCTTCCCTCCCATGAACACACCATGGCCAGGCAGCTTCCCCTCCTTTGTTCCAGCCCTGAGTGTAGCAGCAGGGAGGTTCTGTGGAAGCTAGCAGGAGAGGTGTGCTAAACACAGAAGCAGGCAGTACATAGTGGTGATCTCAGGACCAGTATAGAAGGTGGCGAAACAGAGTTCTGCAATGTCTGGCTGAAAAAAGCTCTGGTTCAAGCAAGCATGGTCACTATTTAGAAATCAGCTCCCTTCTTCGTTCAGATAAGGGTGGGTCTATACTGCTGAGGTGGTGGTTAGCATTCAGGCTCTTGCATATCTGCATCTGCCCTGTTTCCTGCTGTCGCTCAGCTGAAAGGCATCAAATGTGGTTATGGTTTGGACTGTTCACAAAAGGCCACTGAACCACAAGGTGCATGGCAACTCAATCAGTTCATTTAAAGTGCATTTCTCATAAATATGCTTTATTAGTTGTGTTTTGTAAAAAGATACACAAGGTGCCTATATTGTTAAGTGTATCCAACTCATGGTCAATGATGTCTAGGATTCCTGAACTTGGGGTTCACTTGGGATGACTTGGAGTTATGGCAGATCTTCACAGGAGCCTCACTGGCCAATAAAGATACCCATCTCTTATTGTGCAAAGCAGGTGTTTAAACACTCTCAAATGACCCAGACTGCCAGGGGTTGTAAGTGAAGTGGCGTACCATAGCTTTTAGTAGGAATCTATGACAAAGCCTTTCTACTTAAACCAGATGCGTTCAGAGTATCCCAGGCATTACCAAAAATAATTTCATTGACTTCATGGATATGTTCTACCATCCATCATTTCACTGTCCTGAAAGACTTTTTAGATTATTCAAAGACAAACACTAAAGAAGCGTTTCTGTCTAAGAAAGGCAATAGATGGAATCTTATGTGTATTGTTTAAGAGGACTGTTACTTTTAAACATTTAAATGGTGTATAGGTTCACTTTAATTCATTTTGCCCTAGTCATGAAGGTTCTCTTAAAGGTGAACCTCAAGCCAAAACGTGAAATGCACTGTTGAAATACATACATGCAAATCTGTCTTAACATGCTAAAAGATATGTAATTCTGTGTATTCACGCATGTGATTTCCCCCCAGCCCAGACTGCATCATCAAGTTGGTGACACCACTTTTCTCCATCACAGTAAAGCAGCACAAACTGGTCACAAGCAACAAAAATTAGAAAAAATGGGAAACCCTAGGCAGCATTAAAGAAAGTCTTTTGTAGCAGTAGGCCAGTGATAACAGTTTGGGCTCTCAGCTAATTACTACTGCTGTCACCTCTATTTTCTTTTACCCTTAGATTTACTATGCTGTTTTACAACCAAATCCTAAATATTAGCTTCTGATTGTAAGATAATTTATACAGTGTCATACACAGCATTAAAAGTTGTATTGCATAATGATGATGTAAAAAAAATTACTGTGCTAAATGAACCTAATAATCATATAGAATGTTAGAAAATAATGTTCAATAGCATCACAAAGTATAGTGGGTTTAATTTACTAAAACTGGAGAGTGCAAGATCTGTTGCAGCTCTGCATAGAAACCAATCAGCTTCCAGGTTTTTTTTTGTCAAAGCTTAAAGGATAAGTTCACCTTTCTACAAAAAATAATAAATGCAAATTTTTTTTGCAGGTAAAAAATGTGCATTTATTAATTTTTGTAGCAAGAGCCTGGAAAGCATTGCACCAGCGATCAGCAGATCGCTTGTGCCATGCAGGCCTCCTTCAGACTGCCAGTGTATCATACGTCCCGTATGGGCAAGCCGATACGTCTGACAGGAAGAGTCAATGAAATATAAAAGGTGCAGCGCTAAAGTAATGAATGAATCAAATAAAGTACTTCTAAAACATGTGCATATACATAAATAAATTATAAATGATGATAAGGTGAATTGAAGCAGCAATAGAACGAATAGCAGCAATATTAAAAAGCAGACACAGTGAGGCGCTCTGATCAGCGCTACCAGTCTAAAGTGTGAGAGTTCATGAATTATAAATATAGCAATAATTAATATACTGATAAGTGTGGTGATGGTATTTGTGACACTGAGTGGTTAGCGTTGGATAATATAAACTAAATAGTGACTGATAGTTAACATATATCAAATGACACAATTGTGATAAACAATACTTATAAAAAAGTCAAGAAAATAAATCCGTGAACAGGTGACATCCAGTGCTGGTGAATCCGTGAAAAGTATTCCTTTATATGCACTCACCAGAAGTGCATATAAAATGCGCATGAACAGCTGGCTTCTTCCCCGGGTAAGTCAGGCAGCACACCCATCAGCCATAGGACCATGAAAGCCCAGGATGATCTCAGATAGGCATGATGACACCAAGCAGCATGCAAACCGCAATGAGAAATCCTGAGGAGTTATCTCACAAAAGAGCCAGAGAAAATTGGCTAATAGTGTAGTACTTTATTAAAGGTACAGAGTATCCATGTGGAGAGTACAAACAGTATAAAACAATGCACTAAGATGGCCGCCGGACCTTCGTGCTGCCCCGGCGGCGTGACATCAATGTGCAGGCTACTTCCCTGAAGAGTCAATGAACTACCACAGCTCTCACAGTGCCATGGTAGTCCATTGACAACTACAAGGCTGTCGGGACTTGTAGTCCATTTATTCACAAAACACTGTAAATGAATGACATGGCCATGTGGGCGGAGCCCCGTACGGCAATGCTATATTTAAAAATGAACAGCTAGTACGCGGGACTTCTCCCTGTACTTCTATCATGGGGGGGGGAATCGGGCAGAACATGTAATATGTTCCCAAAAGGTGAACTTATCCTGTATTTGAACAGACTGTACTTAGAAGCTGATTGGCTACCAATCACAGCTGCACCAGATTTTGCACTCTCCAGTTTTAGTAAATCAACCCCAGTGTCTCTTATTAGATGATTGCTTTGTATAATATGTGATTGCACGTTTTAGATTTTCATACAATTTGATCTCAATCTCAAACCATAGATTGTTACAGACTGTGAGATGTGTCCACTCTACCAAAGGCTACCAAACAGATTCCTTACTCCAGTCATTCATGGCTCACATTTAGCAGGAACTGGCTGAAATTTGAGCTGTGTGTGGCCCTGTCAACGTCACCTGGCTCGACAAACTTCATTTAAAAAAATTAACAGGTCGTGTGGAAAATTGATGGTCATACAGCGACTGCATCCAACCAGTACCGGGTACTCAGACAGCAGCAGGTGCTTCAGCTGTCAGAATACAATAGCCAGCAGTGTAGACTTCTCCATCAATGCTGTTTAGCATGAATGGGGGAACTGAGTGAATTTTCTTTATCAGTCTGCATAGCTGAACAATAGACATCTACAAGCATATGGCTTTCTGGCGTTTGTAAAAAAAACCAGTGTATCTTTGCATTGTGTCACATTATTATTATTATACAGGATTTATATAGTGCCAACAGTTTGTGCAGTGCGTTACAAAATGAAAGTAGACATTACAATACAATTTGGTACAAAAGGAAACAGAAGGCCCTGCTCGTTAGAGTTTACAATCTAAGCTGCATTCGTGGTTGCATTGCTTCAGTGCAGGGAAAGCAATTAGATCACAGGAGGGATGCCATACCAAAGGTGTTGGATGTTTTTGTGAAAGACCTTACATTTGAACGGTTGCCCTAGGAATTTACTTCATGTAAATCAGCATGTTAACATTATCCGTTGATTTCCTATCTCCTATCTATAAAAGCAAAATATGACAAAGTGCACCTGTCATGAGAGAAATATGAGGGCTATCTTTACATTGCTGGACTTTCCTTCTAACAATTTTCCAGTTTCCTGTTTGATGCTGGCTTCAGATAACGGACAAAAGAAAGTCAAATTTCCTCTGTTCTGGTTCTAGCTGAATATTTGAAGCCAAAGAATTAATGTTGCAGCCTGGTAATTAGCATTCTCAGAAAGAGAAACCAGACATATAAATCTCAACATTTGAATTCCTTGATTTCTATCAGCATAATAGGCAATTCAGAATAGGAAGTGTATCATTTTTAAAATATTTTGTTCTTGCTTCCATTCAAAAAACGTACAGTCATGCGATGTAACAGGAAGTATGTTTACAAGTAAAACTGTGTGTATTGAAAACACATAGAAAATGTATTGAGTGAAAAAGTATAATTGAAATGAGCATGTGAAATGGTGAATGTACAAACTCAGGAGCAGTTTACACCTTTACCTGAAACAAGGATTTTTAGACCCCATCCTTTGCAATGATTAATTTTGGTTGGCAGACATCCCTTCCCTTCTCTCCCGCCCCTCCCCTCCTCCATCAGCTCGCAGGGTGCACACAGATCTTACTAACGCCCCCCCCCTGCTGTTTGCACGCAGTCATTGCATCCAGCAGATTCTTGAAGCAGTCCTCCACTGCCACCAAATGGGGGTTGTCCACAGGGACCTTAAGGTGAGTTTTGTATCCCCCGCCCATACCATCTCTTTTCCATGTGCATGTCAGGCTGGACATACCTCCATACCCATCTCTCACCCTATGCAAGCCTGCTGTTGGTTTGTTGCCTGCATGCTGGTGGCGAGTTGTCTCTGGCTTTCTTTGTGGATGTTGAAATAGTTGTGGTTACCATGGCATGTGAAGGTTTGCAATGGGAAAGCAGCTTAATTTGGGGGTGCATGGCATGTTGAGGGCAGCGATCTTTATTTTGTGCTATTCTGCGTGGTTTTGTGCCCAAAGTATATACTGTACCTGTATGTTTCTTATATGTACTCAGTGGTTCAAGGATCGATTTGTATTTATACCACCATTATACCAGTCTTCTCCATCCTTTCAGAATTTCCCCTGCTCAGCAACAGTATGCTCACCATCTCTCTAAAACCTGTCCTTTTTCTGCCATCTGTTGTGCCACCCAGTCTTGGCAGTATAATAGAGGTGCTAGTCACAGAGCTGGGCATTTGACTCTCTGGGTAGCAGAATTAATTGGTGTCTATAGAAAAAAAAATTCAAAATGGAAAGCTTATTTAGAAAATTCGTGAAATGGGGAAAAAGACACTACATAACTGTACAGCACTATCTGTAAAAGCAAACTTCTGCCCTCCTGCCAGACGTGATCTCCAAACTCGCAGCAATTTGCATTTCTGATCTGCTACTTCTGGGCCTATTTTTTTCTTATAACTGAGCAAGTCTCACCAGGGAAAAAAAGCTCCTCCTTTGAGAGCCTTCAGGAAGGACAAAGAGGGAAACTGCCTAAAAGAGGATGTAGCAGAAATGTAGACCTCACAGTGTTTTTCGCATCAAAAGTGGAGAGAAATCTCCTTGGTATGTTTCATAACAGTACATAAGGAGAAAAGAACAATGTGGAAGGAGGAAATCACTTTTGAGAGAAAGGAGGCTTTAGGCTTCAGGACATTTACACTATATTGCCAAAAAGTATTGGGACACCCTTCCAAATCATTGGATTCAGGTGCTCCAATCACCTCCATGGCCACAGCTGTATAAAATCAAACGCCTAGGCATGCAGGCTGCTTCTACAAACATTTGTGAAAGAATGGGTCGCTCTCAGGTGCTCAGTTAATTCAAACATGGTACCGTGATAGGTTGCCACCTGTGCAATAAGTCCATCTGTGAACTTTCCTTGCTGCTAAATATTCCACGGTCAACTGTTAGTGGTATTATAACAATGTGGAAGCAACTGGGAACAACAGCAACTCAGCCACAAAGTGGTAGGCCATCTAATAGACAGAGTGGGATCAGCGCATGCTTTAGCGCACAGTGTGCAGAAGTTGCCAACTGTCTGCAGAGTCAATAGTTAAAGACCTCCAAACTTCGTGTGGCCTTCAGATTAGCACAACAACAGTGCGTAAAGAGCTTCATGGAATGGGTTTCCATGGCCGAGCAGCTGCATCCAAGCCTTACATCACAAAGTACAATGCAGAGCGTCGGATGCAGTGGTGTAAAGCACACCGCCACTGGACTCTAGAGCAGTGGAATTGTGTTGTCTGGAGTGACAAAACGATCTTCTCTATCTGGCAATCTGGTGGACGTGTCTGGGTTTGGCAGTTGCCAGGAGAACAGTACTTGCCTCACTGCATTGCGCCAAGTGTAAAGTTTGGAGGAGGGGGATTATGGTGTGGGGTTCTTTTTCAGGTGTTGGGCTTGGCCCCTTAATTCCAGTAAAGGGAACTCTTAAGGCGTCAGCATACCAAGACATTTTGGACAATTTCATGCTCCCAACTTTGTGGGAATAGTTTGGGGATGGCCCCTTTCCTGTTCAAACATGACTGCACACCAGTGCACAAAGCAAGGTCCATAAAGACATGGGTGAACAAGTTTGGGGTGGAGGAACTTGACTGGCCTGCACAGAGTCTTGACCTCAGCCCGATAGAACACCTTTTGTAAGAATTAGAGCGGAGACTGCGAGCCAGGCCTTCTCACAAATGCGCTTCTGGGAGAATGGTCAAACATTCCCATAGACACACTCCTAAACCTTGTGGACAGACTTCCCAGAAGAGATTAAGCTGTTATAACTGCAAAGGGTGGGCCAAGTCAATATTGAAACCTATGGACTAAGACTAGGATGCCAATAAAGTTCCTGTGAGTGTAAAGGCAGGCTCAACAATACCTTTGGCAATATAGTGTATGTCCTTGTGGAGCACAAGGAAACACTGTTTAGAAGATAGGGACACTAACTCAAAGACCTGCTGCAAGTGAGATCAAAGAGATATTCCAAGTAGGTTCAAAAGACGGCCACTGAAGAGCAAAAAAAAAACAGGTTAAGGTCCTAGTGAGGAACGTATAGAGGGACCCCACCTAAGGAATAGAATGCCAGCGGTCTCTAAGACAGAACAAGGGCCAAGATTTTCCACTTGATGTAGTTCAAAGGCAGATGCTGGTTAAGACCAGACTGGAGGATGACAGAATGGGGTTTATTTACTAAACCTGGTTGACTCAGAATCTTGTCCACTTCTGCATAAAAACCAATCAGCTTCCAGGTTTTATTGCTGAAGCTTAACTGAACATGCTAAGGTTAGAAGCTGATTGGCTACCATGCACAGGTGCCCAAGATTCTGTGAGTCAACCAGTTTTAGTAAATCTCCTATAATGTGTCCCATGGAGCACTTCCTAAGATGGAATTTTCAAGCCCTGCAATAGGCACAATAAGCCTTCCAGGTCCAGCAATGACTTCTGAAGGTTGGATCCATTTGAGTCTCTGAGGAGTCTGCACTGTCAACTGGACATTGGCACACTAGGCTTAGAAGGACTGGTCCTTTAACAGGAGATCATCCAGGCATCTCACAGTGTGAATTCCTTGAGAGCAGAGTAGAGCTAGAACCAAGAAGGGGTCTGAGGAATGGGCAGCCCCCTAACACGACGCAACAAAGCAAAGACTCCATTCCAAAAGCCATGCAGCTGTGGACATTCCCACCAGACATGACACATGGATCCATTCATGCCACATCCCCTAAAACCGAGGAGAGAAGCAGATGGATACATTTTAGCTAAACACGTTGGAACCACATACCATCAGGTAAGTAATTTCATGTTGGCTTTTATCAAGGTTACATTCATAATGCCAGAGTCAGGAAACACTTATGCCATTCTTCAGCCTCGATCTCTTCTCCAAGATCCTTCTCCCACTCAGACATGTAAGTGAAACCAGATTTTAAAAGGCCCAAAGTCCATGACCTATGGCTTCTACACCACAGGTTAGACAAACGCCATCCTGGTTCTGCCCTCCATAATGGTCATACCCCAAAGAGATCTTAAGGGATAGGGCTCCACCACCAATAATTCACCACTCTGGCCCTGTGACTAGCTCAACATGATGCACTACATGCCAAGGATAGTGCCTAGGCAGGATACGAAGCAACATTGAAGGCCAGCCTTGCATCTTCTTCCAGATAGGAGCAGGTAAAGTCCCTCAGGGCCAAGCCTAGGAGTAAACCAGTCCAAAAAGCTGTAGAGAGGGAGCTGCAGTGGCTAAAGAACAGCTAGGAAGCGTGAGAGAAGAGTCTTGAGAAAAAAAGTCAGAACTTAAAATTGATCAGCTGCTCTCGGAGAACAGATATTGGTCATTTAGGGAAGGTGGTAAAAAACTAGGGCTTCCCGAGAATGAGAGGGTTATTTAGTGGATGTCCTCATAGCTTTTTTTTGTCAGTGTCAAATCGCCTGAAAGTAGCTACATAAAACCCATGGTGGAAGGTGGTTCTTCTGAATAGGAGCACAAGAACTTGAATTTCAGCAGCTCATACTCCCTACAGTCATATGCCCAATTTTCTCTACACTTTTTCTACACTCTTTCCAAAACATGTCAAAGTGGATGCAAAAGTAAGTTTTAGGTTTGATGTAAATCATAAGCAGCTTAAAGCAGAATTAAACCCAAAAGGCAAGCATTTATTATATTGCAGCTTACCAATTTTTAGATGTGATGGCTGCAGTTTTATTTTTTTGGCTTTCTTCCTTTATTTTCACCTGATGATCAGGCCAGTAAGTGTTGTTTTTCAACAGAATAAGCTCTCCTGAAAATGTAGTAGTTAGAGTGTTGGGGCAAACCATTTACCACTGACAGGGGTGCTTGTAATAGCCAGCTTTTATTATTTATGTAAAACCTTTATCCCTAAAGAAAAAATACAATTGTTGTTGTAACTGCTTATGTAACTGCAGTGTGAGCTGGAGTTTGGCTTCAATCAGATTTGTGTATCTAGATCTGCTAGTACATCTATCACTCTCCTCCACTCAGACTGACAATGCTGCTGTCCAAAGGTGCCTCTGTGCTCCTTCATCCAAAGTATAATACAGGAGGTCAGAGGCCAGATCACCAAGTGAAAACAGAGGGGAAAAAAGCCTAACAAAAAAGAAAACTAATGCAATCACCACATCTAATGATTGGTATGCTGCAATATATTACAATTTTGGTTTCAGTTTAATTAACTTAAAAGCATATCTAAATAAGACTTTTTAAGGGTTAATTTCTATAATTTCAAATTGCATTCCTGCTAGTAATACACTTGCTGTTCTAGGGCAACCTTTCTCAACCAGGGTGCTCAGGCACCATGGGGTGCCTTGAGGTTTCTTCAGGGGTGCATTGGCAAAATGTCTAAAAATTGACCAAAACATGTATACAAGCCAGGGGGTGGAACAAACCTGCCCTTTAGTTACACAAAGCCACAGGTTTTCATTGTGTACCATTACGACTTTCTAGCAGCTGGCATCCTGACAGCCAATTACATCATCAGTAAATAAGGAGGTTTTCAGCCACCTGCACAGCATCCTAGTTTGATCTTCCCCTGCCCCTCTCCACCAGTGCTGGGGTCACATTATCTCAATGATGGAGAAAAACTGAGGGAGAAGAGAAACTTTGAAATACTAGACAGTACCAGTGTGCAGAAGTGTATTTGCTTTGGAAGAATAAATCACATCTAATGTTGAGTGTCCTACATGTGTGGGTGTTGCTGTGTTATATAAAACTGTTAGAATAGCTTTTCACATTTTAGAATGGGGTGCCCTTTTAAAATTATGGACAGTCTTGAGGCACCTCATTTTAGAATGGGGTGCCTCAAGACTGTCCATTGTTTTAAAGGGTGCCTCGGGACTGTCCATAATTTTAAAGGGTGCCTTGACTGAAAAAGGTTAAGAATCACTGTTTTAGGGTAGCAACACTCACTGGCCATACTGTATCTATACGTTTGCAGCCATGTCAACCTCAGCTACTCTCCTGATTTCAACTATAAACACCCTGCTTCTCCATTGCATAGGGAGGGAGGGGCTCTTTAGTTCACATAAGCTATCTAGGAAAGTCAATAACATTACCTGCGTTTTTCTTTCAGTAAGTTATAAAAACACTGCATTTTGGGTATTTTTCTATACCAGCATAACACGCAGTTAGACTGAAAAAAAAAGAAAACTAACGCAGCCACCACATATAAAGACTGGTCAACTGCAATATATTACACTTTTGTTCTTGGATTTAGGTATCCTTTATTTAGTGTAACTCCTTGAGCAGTAGAAATGCAAATCTCAGAAGTACCTAAAATCATAGTGAATTTTTAGCCTGCCCATACAAGCCCTACATTCAGTTATGTTTTGGCTTTTAACTACTCCTACCTTGGTCACCTACTATATTTTTTGTCCCCATTCTTCAGCTTAAACTGATTTAGATTAGCCTGGGCTGTAGATTCACCAGGGAGGACTTTTTACTTTACAGATTCAATGTATCCAGCTACTTGTTGACTACATATCTCTTCTAAAGTCTGGATGAGAATCCAACAAAACTGCTACAGGGGCATTTTAATGTTAGTGCTCACATTCTACATAGCTTAACTAACAAATGTCAAAGTACATACACCATCAACACTACAAAGCTATTTGCCTAAATACATACAAAGAACCTCTTCTGCTACTGTGATAATCCCCATCATTGTAATTATAGTAAAATAACAAAATTAATCTTTTTTTTTTTTTTTGAGAGGTCAAATCTGCGACTAGATTATCAGGTAAAAGAGATGGAGACCATACAGTCTGATAAAAGTAAGGAACCAGACCTCCCTTTATGAAATGTTGCAGTGAAGACAAATCAGCCTTATGCTGTACTCTATCATTTCTCAAGCATATTCATACAACTCCAAGTCTGGTCGCCTTTATAAAGGGAACCTTATTCCTCCTGGGTGACTGTAAGATGCAGACAATGAACAGTGGCGATCTGTCAATGCAACTAACCACATTTCTGTTAACAACAGCCAGAAAACCTTCTCCTTGCCAGTAAATGCAAAGGAGCTGCTGTGAAGCTGGCGGATTTTGGCCTGGCCATAGAGGTGCAAGGTGAACAGCAGGCTTGGTTTGGTAAGTATGGGAATATATTAATGTTTAAAGTTGACCAAAACACTGTTATTTCTTTAGCCATTTTACCATGTTACTCACATGATTATTCCTGCCCTGATGGTAGGCCCATGAGCTGTAAAGTATTGCATTTTAGGGGCAGGGAAGAGGACATGCCTACTTTCTAGAACTAGGACATGGAGAGAGTGTAGGATTCGCTGATAAAGTATATAAGATCTATGCTGACCGCTTGATGCTACATATATTTTAAAGCAACTCAGTCACTAAAACACATAATAGGAGACCATGAATTTGATATTTTCCAAAGTGTCAGATTCTGCAAGATATCCAACTAGCATTTTAACTTTACTATTGCAGAGATTGACAGTGTAGGCAGCAGTAGAGGTGAGTATTTTACCTCTTTGCAGGAAACACCACTTTATTTTGAACATTTTAGCGAGTCACACTTTTTAATTACAATGCTCCATGTTCAGGGGAGGACTGACAACTCATGGGGCCCCCGGGCAATAGGGATCATGGGGCCCCTGTGCCCTTGCCCAAATTTAAAAAAGCCTATGAAAAAGGTACCAGGGGCATCTCATGGGGCCCCCTACTGACCCCGGGCCCTCGGGCAGTGCCAGAGTTTCCAAATGGTCAGTCCAACCCTGTACATGTTGCCACTTATTTATAAGTATACCTAAAGTGCATCTATAGCCACAACTTTTTTTCTAATTTTGGATGGAGTGGCAATAGTATGGAATCTTTCGCAGGTTTTTATTGCTGTACACCTCCCCCCCCCCCCCCCCCCCCCCACTGGGCAGATTTACCTTCTATATTTGTCCTGGTGGCTATTGTCACTGAAATAAAGAGCAGTGGAATATATGTTTAAGTAGATCTGGAGAGATTTCCTTACACTTCCTATTTTGCCTACAGGACATGAAGTGAAAGGAAATCTCTTTAAAGGTCCTTTTAACTCTTTCGCTGCCAGGTCCGTATGTTGTACGGACCTGACAGCGGGGCGTTTTACACACAATCCAGTGGCTGCAACCACCAGGATTGTGTCTAAAACTGATAGGCAGACTCCTGCCTGTCAGGTAGAAGCAGTCTGGCGGCTGTGCTGCCAATTGCTTCCACAGCCCCTGGTAACGGTGCCCTCAAGCACGTGCACTCCCGCCATGTATTTCGGGCTCGGCTTGCTCATCTGCGGGCCCAGGGCCGACATGGCGGGTCCTGGTGCGTGGAGAGGAGAAAGGAGAGCAGACGCACGTCCACTCTCCTTCTTACTGTGACCTGGAAAGTGACATGTATGACGTCACTTCCGGGTCACCGCTTGCACTTTCCCTGGCTAGACTAGCTGGGGAGAAATGTATTGCAATGCAATCTGCATTGCAATACATCCAGTGGAGCCCAGAGGAGACATGCATGTCTTATTAAAGAGAACTTGTCACCTAAAATTCATCACATAGCGGAATTTTTTATTGCAAAAAATAAACTTACACCCAAGCACATAACATCCCTCCCCAAATAGGTTTTGAGGTCTCCCACCCCCACATATACGTACATACAAAAGTAAATGCAGGCATCAGTGTCACCTTACGCCTGAAGACATCAATTGCAATACTCATGTTACATATCACCATGCATGCCTGATGACCTGTAAAGGCTTTTGAAGAGTCGCCTATAGAAAATATAGGGTACTGAAGTTTGTTGCCATTTCATAGGCACACACAAATTTAAAGTTTGACATGTTGGGTATCTATTTACTCGGCACAAATTCACTTTAGTGTGTTTTTTACTGAAATGTGTTTCCTAGACTTTGCTGTAATATCGTGTGACATACAAAATTGGAACTACCACTATTTTATTCTGTAGGGTGTCTGTTTTCAGAAAATATATAATGTTTGGGGGTTTTGTGTAATATTCAGCCTAAAATGAGCTTTGAAACGTGTGCAAAAAAATGCAAAAACAACTCTGGCAGCGAAAGGGTTAAAGACGACCTCAGTGTAGCAGCAGTATTAAATACCTACCTTTAAACCCATTCTGAAAATATTGACTATTTAGCTTTTCCCAGGACTAAAAAGCACATAGTTGTATGTAGTGCTGGCCAGGCTATGAGTCCACTGCACATACACATCGTTTCCCTTATTCATAGATAAAGCTGTACGCCTAAGAATGATTGTACGTGCCAAGAGTACAGCCTTTTCCATAGGAATGGAGTAAGTAGCATGCATGCACAGGGGATGCATTGCCTGGTCAACACTATTTGCCCAAAAGGTTGTGTGATGCCAGACAAGGGTGCACAGTGAAGATCAGTGGATGGGGTGGCTGAAGGTAAGCATTTAACCCTAAAAATGGGTTTATTGGGATATACACAGGGAAAAACTGGGAGGCATTTTCATTATAGCCTAGTGAAATAAAAAAAAACTGTTGCCTAGAGAAAGACAGAAAAGTAATGGACATAAGCACTAAAAACTTTTTTAATACAGTATTAAAAGCACTTAAAACTTTTTTAATTAAGTTTTTTTTTGTTTAACAATGTCTGTTGCAATTCTGATCTATAGTATGTGAATGAAAGTTCTGGTATTCATGGATGGCAATCAGCCTGTGTGAATGAGATGTAAGTTCACAACTCTGCAAAATAAACTGACTTTAGCAGTCCTGATGGGCCCTATGCCAGAACTAAACTGAAAGGTGTAATCCAGGGGCTAGAGTTTTACTTTAATACCATAAAATTACCAATTACTGAATCACAAGAAAAGTAATACTTTATTCTGCTTTAGTGTCATATTAGACACAGTTTTAAATGTAACAGTAGCTGCTTCCTTTCTTTGAAGTGACACAAATAAAAAAGATTTTTTAAGGTCAATGTGCAGTAACCCATAGCAACTGCTGAAATCGGATTCGTTGCTCTTAGCCTATTAGTTTTGCTCTGTGTGCTGCCTTAAATAAGCCTTTAGGTTTCCAAAAATATAACTATCTCTGTAGAAATAGATTGTCAGATATTTATCAGGGGGTTATCTTGGTAGATTTCATCTCCTTCCAAATGTCTTCAAAGTTCATTGGATTAAAAAAGAGCTGTGCCTATAATTCTGAGCACAGAAAATATCTTTCACGCACCATTTCTCCTAAGTGAGTACATGAAACAATCCCCTGGCACATAGCTCTTTGTATAAACTACTGCCAGCTGGAGATACGGGAGGACTCTCATTATGTTGTTTCTGTGCCAGGTTTTGCTGGAACCCCAGGGTACCTGTCCCCAGAGGTGCTCCGAAAAGAGGCATATGGAAAACCGGTGGATATCTGGGCATGTGGTAAGCAGACACAAGTTGCAGTGACTGTGGCTGTATAATAAAAACACCATATGGACGGTTCTACCATTCTCACTTAGAATTCAACATGTGTGTTTTCAGAATTGATTAAAAGGCCTTCTAATTGTCATTCTGATATAACCAGCATGATACAGACTTAGTTTATAGATTGCCAAAGACATGTATATACAACAACTGTAAATACAGTGAACCTTATTAAATAAATAAAATACAAAGTTGTCAGACATAGTGATTGTCAATAACCCAGATTCTTTTTTGCTTCACAATAACAATGTAATAATGTTTCACTAAGAATAACAACTGTCCTTGAACTTACTGAGACTCAACTATCCACTGTACAAAATCATCACATCATGTTCAGTTACAGGCTAACTCCACCTTTTGTACCATGTTACATGTTACCCTTGTATTTGGTACCATGTTGCAGATGGAACCCCCAAACTACCCCCCCGTGACAGTATATGAGGGTTCCCCTGCGACCGCTGTCACTTTTGAAATTGGTATGGCTGTGTGGGGCTCTAAGATCTGTGAATAAATAAACTACAGTCCCATCTTCTCTCAAAAGAAACACAAGTACGGTAATCACCACATTTGTAGCCCACTGACACTTTCTCCAACCTAAAGCCCATACCTTGGTATGGACAGAAGGTGCAGGAAGAGTCTGCAGGAGCCTGCCACTACACCTGTGATACACTGATCACGGGTGCAATGCTTTGCAGGCACCTAAGCAAAAAAAAAAAAATAATAATAATAATAAGCTTCCATGCACACTAGCTTAAAAATAAGCTCCTAGCAGCTAATTATGAGAGTTTCTTTTCTGCCACGAGAAGCAGATAGTGTTATCCTATGTGTTCATGCACACCTAAGGGTCTGTAGGGTATGACTCTGGGGGGGGCCCCAAGCCATTTTTTTTTTTAATTTTGGCGTTGGGTTCCCCTTAAAATCCATACCAGACCCAAAGGAGGGGGGACCCTATCACTGTTTTTTTCTCAAATTTTAATTGCCAGCTATTCTTTTGTTTACATTCAGCTGTCAGCAGGGAACCCCACTGACAGCTGATGAGTCATCAGTTGTTAAGGATGCGGGCGGCCGGCTTGCCACCTGCTACTTAACAACCAGCTGTACACTCCGAAAAAGGCCAGCGCAAAAACGGAAAAGCGCTGGGAAAAAAACAATCATATGAGCGTTTTTAATCCAGCATTTTTCCAGTGTTTTTTTTTCATTTCCTACAGGGAGCCTAAAAATAAATGCACTTTTTTTTCTTGCAAATTTATGTGCATTTATTATTTTTATTTTCTAAAAGGTGGACTTAGTCTTTAAACACTTGCTTCCTTGTTCTTCATTCCCTTAGCTCATATGGAATTTAAAAAAAGAGGGAACTGTGAACGTCTCATGAGTTAGTGATGGAGTGAGCACAGACACCAATGTGTCTTAAAGCTGAATAGCCCAGACAACAATCCTGATTTAGAAACTCATTTAATTTGAATATAAGCAGCCTTCCTAATTCCATAAATTGAAACAAAATTACTTGTTGGGGCAGGTATGTTCCCAACACTGATACATGTCCACAACACTTATTTAACTGAGGAATCCACTCAGATGAGCGGAAAGATATACAGTATTTAACATTACTAGACATGTTTAGTTAAATGTGAACTATTAGCTATGCTATGACCTGGATAAATGAAAACCTTCACATATAAAAGGTTACATTTAGAAATGTAAACAGTTCTGGTATTAGAAAGCATGTAAAAGTTAAGTTGCTTAGAATGGAGATTTTTTTTCAAAGACTATGCCTGACATTGGTATTTCAAACCATCCTGCAGAGTTTAACCTACAGGGAGGATGAGTACAACTAGCAGGATGTCCATTACTTTGAGAGGTGCTAGTTTTATGGTCTCCCTATAAAAGTGGGCCTTTAATGTTGTATATTGGAATTTGGAATTTGATTTTTCTGTGTATCGTCTCACTAGGTGTTATCCTCTATATTCTCCTGGTTGGATACCCTCCATTTTGGGATGAGGACCAGCACAAGCTATACCAGCAGATTAAAGCTGGGGCATATGATGTGAGTTATACTTGTCTGCTTACCTTATTTATAGATGAGTTTATTTCGTAACTCAGTACAGAATCCAGATTGCTGAGATAAAAATTCTGACTGATTGGCATTTGTTCCTGGACTGTACGCACTGCTAGTTGTATTAAATTATCAAGCTATTGTTTTCACATAGGGGTCTTTCACCAAAAATAACTGAGCATTAAAACTCATGCACACACTACATGTGTTGTTTAATAAAATATAAATTTTGGATTTTCAGAAATATTGATATATATATATTTCTGTATATGAAATATACAGAAATATATAAACCCTAAGAAACATCACAAGTTCATGTTTAACATTTTAGGTCCTTGCATTGTATGAAACGTTTGCAGTATTAGCTTCTTCACTGGTATATCTTTCAAAATACAGACATCTTAGTCCATAAATTGAAAGGTTGGTCCCATGAAGAATACATAAAACATGATATCAAGTGTCGGTGCATTATCAGGTAGTGAAAATTATGTACATGTAACACACTCTAGTGTGCTACTAGAGTAGTATAGGTAAATTTATTGCATATGACTCATGGTAACTCTGTGAGTCTGTAATTAAGTTTTTAAGGTTACTGCAGATCAGGCTGGATGGCTTAACAGGTTTGCCAGGTTCTGGAGGACCATGGAACTTTTCAGAAGCCAGTAGGTAGAAGCAGAGGGGACCTAATCTGCATGTCTATGGGAGCCTAACCAATCCCAGGTTTGGAGGCCCTGGTAGTGTGGTGAGACCAACCCATAAATATGGGAGAGTCAGGCTGGCAGGAGTCAGGTGAAAGATGGAGTCCCCTAGGTCTAGGGAGGCTGGCCTCCAGGCCGGGCTCAGGCTGGCTCAGAAGGGTCCATTCAGCATCACTGCATGAACGAGGCCTGGGAGCAGTGACAGCAAGGACGACAGAGTGAGTACATGAGCACACCCAGGAGTCTACAAGGGGAGAGACTGTCACATGTAGCAAGATTTCAAAGGACAGCACTGTGCTTAATCCTTTATCCTTGTCCTGGAAGATGAAGGCTGTGAAGCTTGGAGCAGTTCTACAGAAGAGAGGAGACATCTCTGCATGTAGTTTGCAACAAGCTAAGCTAACTTTCAGAGGGGTTGCGAGTCCCTAGGCTGTAAGGAACAGTTGCTACTTATCCGCTTTCAAGGAAAAGAACAGTCCAGGATCTTTTCTTTAAATAGGGAGGAAGCTGTCCCTTTGTATTGGTTCAGTCAAGTTGGGAATTCTATAATCCCTATTACCCTATGCAAGTTATATCCTCTAATGAATAACAAAAAAAAACAAGCTTATGGGCTGTTTGGTGACTGTGGATGCAAGTGTGGAAAATGTGTGTTGCTTGGTTGTGCGAAGCAAAGAGGGATACAGAAACACAGAAGCCCTCAAGAAAGCCCTCAAGAGGGAAGCGCTACATACACATGCCTGCTAGAAACCTACATTTGTTTAGGATTTTGTTTACATTTCTCAACTCATATGCTCTGTGTAGCTGCAGAAATCATGGTAAGGGCCTTTGTCAAAAGACTTCTGCTCACTTCAAACAGGTTTTGCATTTCCATAAAAGTCTTTGATTTCAGATACATCTCAAACTGATACCCCTGAAGTCCAAAACCCATCAATACAGGCCTTTTATCTGTCCATACATGGAGGAATCTAAACATTTGGAATTGTGAAATCAGAAGGAAAGGGCAACCTTTCCTTAACTATGAGACACAAGCAGTATTTAAATAATGTTTTTGGATCACCCTTTTGCTGCCTATGAGGCAGTAAATAGGAGACCTAAGTTATCATTTCTTTGCTTTATCAGTACAAATTAATTGAAAATTGAAAACAAATCTTAAACTCAACGAATACCTATCACTGATTTCAGAGATCCTTTGATGTAATCATTCTTGCTCCACAAATGAGAAGATTGTCAAACAACTGTATTAGACATGTTAACAGCCCAGCATTCATGTCCCATGTATGGACAGATGCAGAAGATCATAAAAGATGAACAGGTAGAACTCCTCTCTTCACACAACCCTCACTGTCTTTATCACTCACTTGCCTGTAATATTCTGCAATTATTCATTTCTAGTATTCCTGTACTTGTTTCATGCATCACTGTGAGTCTCCTGCTTCAAAGATAAGAGATCAGTGAGTGGAATGCTGTATAAGAAATTATTTTGCAGCCAGTTCTGTGAAACAGATATCTTGGACTAGTATATTTGTTTTATTGAAGGCCTATGTCACACTAACAATTCTCTTGCTGGTGGTCCACTCACCTTCTACTTTGGCATCACACCCTCAATGGCCAAACCAGTGAGATGCCCTTGTTACAATCATGATTCTGCATTGTTTTGGCCAGCAAGGGAAAAATCTCTTAGAAAAGGGTCAGAATTGGTCTGACAATTTAGCAGCTCTAACTGACACATATGGATATCTCTACAGTTCCCATCTCCAGAGTGGGACACAGTGACACCAGAAGCTAAGAACCTGATTAACCAGATGCTGACCATTAACCCTGCCAAACGTATTACTGCTCATGAAGCCCTCAAGCACCCATGGGTCTGCGTAAGTAACCCATATATTTACAATCGTATGATTGCTGATACTGGCCACTATGACATCTGTCATATGTGGCTGGACTGTACAGCACAATAGGAATTAGCTTGGGTATTATGTGCTACAACTTTCCTCTCTGTCTCCTTACAGCAACGTTCAACTGTTGCCTCCATGATGCACAGACAAGAGACTGTGGAGTGCCTGAAGAAATTCAATGCTCGTCGAAAGCTGAAAGTAAGTGTGGTTCCAGCATGCATTTCTGATCTGTGTCACTTTCCCATGTGGGTGCCATATTAATCCACCTTACGCTATTTCTATAGGGAGCCATTCTGACCACTATGCTGGCAACTAGGAACTTTTCTGGTAAGTGATTCCCTAACCTAATATGGGAAATTTTCTACAGGCACTCTGCTAACCATATATACATGCTGTTATAATAGTCTACAGGACCACTGCTGACCTATACTGTACTGATGTATGAGGAAACTCACACTCCTACAATTAATCTTACATAATCCAAAACCAGATTTCAATAAAAAGTGCTGAACACCTTTAGATAACACTGATCTGCAGGAAAATGTGATATTGAAAGACAGTTTAGCCTTATGTTTTAGGGATAAGTGATAAATATTAACTATCACAAGTGCTAACAGTGGCATAGGCGTTTGAGCAAAGATGTCAACCACAATTAACATTTTCTGGAATGGCATCACTGTGTACAACAAGACCACTTCATCTTCTACATTGGATCTCTTTTATTACCAGTGTGACATGCTGCAGAGCCTTCTGCTATACTCAATACTATGCATTTGCAGGGTTAACTTTAAGGCCTCATGTATACTAAGCGTTAAAAATGCTTAAGGAGCGTCTGCCTTTTTTTTTCTGCCTCTAAACACCCCTCCATGTTAGCTTATGTGTCTATGCACACATAGGCGTTTAGAGGCGTTTTGAGGCGGAAAAAAATTGCCAGAGAGTCCAGGAACAGCAGCATTTTGACACAAAAAAGCGTTTGACCTGTGTAAACTTGCATTAACACTAGCGCTTAAGCGTTAATTTGTTTCATTGGCCATTGTTCTAGCTGCATTTCTGATATGACCAGTGATAGGTTCAGCAGATTTGATCTGATTCAAGTGAAGTCCTGCAATGTGGTCTCTGCTAATAATACCAATACACAGATGAAATCACTTTTTATAAAAAGCATATAACACTACAAAACTTTCCTTAAAACAAGCCATCATTCACTTATTTTTACAATCCATGTACAGCAAAGCACAGGCCAATGCTTTACAATTATGGAAGTGCACAGGAGAGCCCAGCACTTTACATACAATGGGGCTCATTCTGATGTGACCAACTCAATGTGCTGCAAAACTTTCTTTAATATAACCAGTTACCAGTGATTCATCTCTTTGTGTAACCATGTGGTGGAGATAAAATGCTTTTCTCTCTGCTCTTATCTTTTCTTTATTTTAAGTCTGCCTTATTCTATTTACTTCATCTCTCCTCTCCTTCCCTCTTTTTCGCTCTCCTACATATTGTTACCCCCACACATCACCTTCTGATTTTTTGTCTCTTGTTCTGCCTTGTTTGGACTCTCCTGTGTTCATTTGTACTCCTCTTTACATTGAATCTGTCTTCCTCTCTCTACCTTCTGTTATTACTGGTTTATTTCATATGTTTGTATATAACCAACCTCCTGTATCACATCACTGTTAAATGTGATCTATCTAATCACCACTTTCCTCCATTGTTTACTTTTTTCCTCCGTCCCCTTTTCTCTGATCTCTGTCATTCTCACAGTGGGCAGACAGACCACAGCTCCTGCCACAATCACCACTGCCGCCACTAGTACAGCCCTGGGGTTGGTGGAACAAGGTAGTAGTGTCCACAGGGCACTTCCCCTCCCTCTTTACACCTGCCCCTTCCCTCCCCTCAGAAGTGACTGCATGTAGCTGCTTCTTCCTTAGCTGCCTGCCTGAGTGGAATAATGAAAGGAGACCGGCTTGCAGGTTTGTCCTGCAAGGATTAGGAAGAGATAGAAGGGGTTAGAATCGACTATACTAGGGTTTTTAATATACCAGTGCTATAACATTGACAAAGTACTTAAGTGTTATCTTTTAATGGCCAAATGTGGAAGGTAAAACCTATACCAGCCTGTATTTTAATAGATTGTCCCATATATACTTGGCTAGTTGGCTCCTTTTCTTTTATGTGCTAATCTGTCTTTGCCATGTTGAGGTTATTTACAGTGCATTCACAAATTATTCAGACCCCCTTCACTTTTTTCAATTTTGTTATGTTGTAGCCTGATACTACAGTTGTTTAAATTCATTTTTTTTTCTCATAAACACTCAGTACCCCATAATGACAAAATGAAAACATGATTTTAGAAAAGTCTGTGAGTTGATTAAAAAGGAAAAACTGAAATATCACACGTACTTAAGTATTCAGACCCTTTATTCAGTACTTTGTTGAAGCACCGTTAGTAACAATTACAGCCTCGAGTCTTTTTGGGTATGACGCAACAAGTTTTGCACACCTGGATTGGGCGATTTTCTGCCAATCTTCTTTGCAAATCCTCTGAAGCTCAGTCAGGTTGAATGGGAACCATCAGTGGACAGCCATTTTCAGGTCTCTTTGAGATGTTCAATAGGGTTAGGGCTCTGGCTGGGCAAATCTAAGACATTCACAGAGTTGTCCCCAAAGACACTCCTGTGCTGTCTTGGCGTGTGCTTAAGATTTTTGTCATGTTGGAAGGAGAACCTTCAGCCTAGTCTGAGGACCTGAGCACTGTGCTACAGGTTTTTATTGAAGATATTTCTCTACTTTGCTCCATTCAGCTTTTCCTCAACTCTGACCAGTCTCCCAATCCCTGCTGCAGAAAAACACCCCATAGCATGATGCTACCACCATCTTACAGGTGATGAGGGTTGCCTGGTTTCCTCCAGACATAACGTTTAGAATTGAGGCCAAACAATTCAATCTTGGTTTCTCAAGACCAGAAAATCTTATTCCTCATAGTCTGAGAGTCCTTCAGATGCTTTTTTTGCAAACTCCAAGTGGGCTTTAATGTGTTAGTCTTCCGTCTAGCCACTCTGCCATAAAGCCCAGATCTGTGAAGGGCTGCAGTGATGGTTGTCCTTCTAGAACATTGTCCCGTCTCCAGACAGGATCTCTGGAGCTCAGTCAGAGTGACCATCAGGTTATTGGTCACCTCTCTTACTAAGGCCCTTCTCCCTGATTGTTCAACAGGCAACCAGCTCTTGGAAAAAGTCCTGGTTGTGTCAAACATCTTCCATTTGAGAATTATGTAGGCCACTTTGCTCTTGGGAACTTTCAGTGCAGCAGAAATTCTTTTGTAGCCTTCCCCATATCTGTGCCTTACAGTAATCCTGTCTCTGACTTCTGCATTGTGAGGCCTTTTATAAAGAGGTGTGTGCCTTTCCAAATTATGTGCAATCAATTTAATTTACCACAGGTGGACTCCAATCAAGGTGTAGAAACATCTCAGTAACAATCAAGAGAAGCAGGAGACATCTGAGCTAAATTTCAAGTGTTGTTGCAAAGGGTCTGAATACTTATGCCAATGTGATTTTTCAGTTTTTCCTTTTCCATTTATCTGAAACCTTTCTAAAATCCTGTCATCCCTATGTCATCATAGGGTACTGAGGGTAGATTAATAAGGAAAAAATTAATGTAAACAACTCTAGTATCTGGCTGCAACATAACAATATTGAAAAAAGTGACAGGGGTCTGAATACATTATGAATGCACTGTAGGTAGCATATAAGGGGCCTTTTTGGGTGTCCACTTGGAGACGCTGCATGTAGTGTGTGTACCTTGGAGCATGCTGTATGCTTGGGCATGTCATCTGCATGGCATGTGTTGAGGTACAACCCAGCAATTATCTGATAGTGTACATGGCATTTATGGTACAATGACCTCACTGTGCTCCTCAGCAGTTCTGTGTATACATGTACAGTGCATGTGTGTGTACACGTTGTATGTGAGTGTCACTGTTCAAAAAGAATATTTAGATGTTGTATTGTGAAAAGTAGTCTATGCCCTTGCCAGTGTTCTGTCAGTGTTTGAATGGTATAGAGTGCAGCTAAGAAAGCTAAACCTAGTAAGACAGTAACACAAATTGGTAAATTATACATTTGCATAAAGGTTTACAAAGCTACTTTTTAGAGTACAGTGAGTTACAATAATAATACATAAACAGGAGCTTGATAGCATCTACTAAGCGCCCATTTTCTTTTGCAGTTCTAGAAAAAAAAACATTTACCTTTGGCTTTTCCTCAAGAGGTTAAGTAATTTTCATAGGCACAAACAAATGTGAAAAAACCCAACATGCTAATATAAATAACACCTCCAACTTTCTATACTCAATTTAATGTGTCTCCCTGTATACAGATTTTGTTCAAAGCAGTACATATGTTTTCTTGTAGGACCTCATATTTATATAGAGACTGTATCTGAGTTTATAAGTTACATGTGATTTTTGTTTAAAGGATTTTAACAGTTGTTTCTAGAAGACATTAATTGACATAACATTATGACCACTGACAGATAAAGTGAAAAACAGATTATTTTGTTACAATGGCACCTGAACAGGGGTGGGATATATTAGGCAGCAAGTGAATATGTTGTCCCTTAATTTGATGTGTTGAAAGCAGAAAAAATGGACATAGCAGATTGTTGCATTTAGGACTGCGTAGCTGCAGACTTGTCAGGATGCCCATGGTGACCTGTGTCCACAGCCAAAACTGCCTACAATGGGCATGTGATCATCAGAACTGAACCACAGAGCAATGGAAGCAGAGCAATGGAAGGCCTAATGAATCACATTTTCTTTTACATCAAATGGATGGCTGTGTATGCGTCCATTAGCTGGGAAAGAGATGGCACCAGGATGCAGTATGGAAAGAAGTCAAGCTGGTGGAGGCCATGTGAAGCTTTGGGAAATTTTCTGTTGGAAACTGAGGGCCCTGCCATTCATGTGAATGTTACTGTGACACATACAACCTACTTAAACATTGTTGCTGACCAAGTACCCCTTCATGGAAACAGTATTCCCTGATAGCAGTGGCCTCTTTCAGTGGGATATTGTACCCTGCCACACTGCAAAAAAAGGTTGAAGAATGGTTTGAGGACCACAAAATTGAGTTTGGAGGTGTTGACTTGGCTTTAAAATCCTCCAGATCCAAGATCGAGCATCTGTGAGATATGCTGGAAAACGTCTGATCCATGGAGGCCCCACCTCACAACCTACATGACTCAAAGGATCTGCTACTGATGGCTTAGTACCAAATACCACAGCATACCTTCAGAGGTCTAGTGGAGTCTGTGCCTCCATGGGTCAGGGCTTTTTTGGAAGCATATGGGGGACCTACTCAATATTAGGTGGGTGGTCATAATGTTATGGCTTATCATTGTATAAACACTTTACATCTTATAAAAAAGATGTACAGACTCCTTAAAAGAAAGAGCTAATGCTGTCCACTGAATTAATTCTGCCATAATGCCAGGACCACCCAACTCGACAAATTTTGGCTAAAAATCAAAGAAACTAGGTGTAAAATTGTAAGTTAATCTGCATCCAGTCAAATACGTCCACTCTTTGGTTATTAAGACAGTTGTGGATGCTGGCTGGAATAAATTGCCAGAAGGGGAGATTTCTCTATCCACACTGTTTAGCTTCAATTTGGGAATCTCTTAGATTTCTCTTGTTTGGCATGTGTATAGCTAGCCTAAAGCTGGCCATACATGGTTCAGTTTATTTTGCACAGCTGGCAGGCTAAACAAAAAACTGAGCCAAATTACCCCATTCACACATTCAATGTGGATGCGGGAATCCTCCCCTCCGTATCATTGTATGCTGATAGCAGGACTCCCCCAACATGGCCATAGATGGATCAAAATTAATCCTGTCTCTGCTGAACCAGGAACCAGGCAAATTTTGATCCATCTATGGCCAGCTTTAGTTCATTCAGTGATAAAATGCCCTTCATTATCTTATATATGGGAGAATTAAAGGTGATCTTGGCTAAACTTAGCAGTGCTTAGAAAGAAATGTTGTTAAAGGAGCTGCTGCAAAGATACCTTGCTCAGGTTTCTGTGACAGAACCTCCAAGACACCAGACTTCATACCTCATTTTGGCTTATTTTACTGTTAAGCTCCTTCATGGAGAAACTATGTTATAGCAAACCTGACTGGTCTAAAAAGTGCATACTAAAGTGACAACAGTTTAAAGTGACACTAAAGCTTTGTTGTTTTTTGTTTGTTTTTTTTTAAATAACAAACATGTCTATACTTACCTGCTCTGTGCAGTGATTTTGCACAGAGCAGCCCCGATTCTCTTCTTTTTGGGTCCCCGTTGGTGCTCCTGGCTCCTCCCCCTCGAGCAGTGCCCCCAGGGAAACCTACATGCCCTGAGAGCACCATTGCGCGCTTGTCCCCAAGCCGCTGCTCTATGCACCCATAAGACACATAGAGCTGTGGCTCGGAAGCGCCACCCCCTTCTCTCCTCATTGGCTCACTGGCTGAGCTTGACAGCAGCGAGAGCCAATGGGCTCCCGCCGCTGTCTCAGCCAATGAGGAGGAAGAGTTCCCAGACAGTAGAAACTGTTGAGAATGTCGCTGGATCGGAGGGGGCTTAGGTAAGGATTGGGGGGGGGGGCTGGGGGGGCCGCTGCACAAAGAAGGTTTTTTACCTTCATGCATAGTATACATGAAGGTAAAAAACTTCGAGCCTGTAGAACCACTTTTTTTTTATAATTGACTTTTTATTGATTTTCAAAATGCTTACAACAAATAGAGTTGCACAAAATCATGAAGTAACAATCACAAAGCAATAAAAGAACAAATGGACTCATCGATGAGAGGCATATACTGTAGGTACATACAATGTCAGTACATAACAATGAATTAGCCACCATTTTCAGACAATTGAGTAGGCAAATCGGAAATGGAAAGATCCCACGGTTCCCAAACTGCCTCAAAAGTGGGGACAGAGTTAGCATCCAAAACAATGAGGTACTCCATTCTTCTAATCTCTACTATGACCTTCACCAATTCTGATCGTGTAGAAAGCCAATGCATGGGAATGGTTCTCCTGGCCGCTGTTAAAACATGGGAGGAAAGTTTCCTTACAAATTTGGAAAGGCCTGAAAAACATAGGCCCAACAAAAAGTGGATGGGCTCAAATTAAATAGGAGCCTCTTTAGAACCACTTTAAGGCTGCATGCACACAGGCGTAATAAAATAATCCCAGCCAGGAGCTGGCAGAAAAATCTAGTGTAAAACATGCTCGGCCTGGTACCTATTTACGTGCACTGATGCGCATATGGAGCTTAGAGACATATGCATGTATTTCATTCTAGTGGAATGTTCTAGCCACTAGAAATAAAATTATGCGCGTGTGTTTTTTTGTATACTATATATTCAAAAATTATACCAATACACTTCTCTCTGAATGCAGGTTTGAGGCATTTTAAAACACGAATCTAAACACCACAACGTGCAGAAACACAGAGGTTTCTGTGCAATGGAAAATATTGAACTGCATTCAGAGGCACAAAAAAAAAAAGAAAAATGCTTTTAAAGGTAGCTTTTTTTCTTCATGTGTGCATGAGGCTAAAAAGGGCAGGCACTATTGTCTTTTGCCACTCCATCTACTATCATTCAGCTGTCAAGCTCTATAACCTCTGTGTTTCTGCTATTTGTCAGCTGAGTGACAGCATATGTAGTCTAGTGGTGATAAGGGTTGGGACTTAAAATCAGTTTTGAGAGTAGTCAATGCACTGTATACAATCTGAGCCAAGGGGCTCCACATTGACCCAGGTTTCAATTCAAAGGGTGCTTGCAGGAACCAATGGGTGTGTTCATTTCAACAGCGATGTTACATTAGGCATTTTTGAGGCTAGGTCAGGTTCACTTGAACACAAGTGATATCAATTACCAAGCAGCCTATCTGCATACAGTTTGACTACAGTATTTCTGCAAATTCCTCTTTCAAGTCTCATATCCCACTGTATAGAATGAACACAAATGCAGTGTTTTCCACACTTTGACAAACATACTGTATTATAGGCAGAGAGCAAAAAAAGTTGGGGTGAGTGTTGTAGATGGACAGTATTTTCATGGCTAGGCATGTGTTGGATGTCCTGTCTTGCCAGCCTGCTGATGCCCGAAGTATATGCACAGATTTGCCATTTGACAGTGCCCACCTTGTGTATTTTACCTATATGTATCTTTTCCTCTTCCCCCTGTCTTTTTTCACTGTTTCACTATTTCTCTTTTTCTCTCTCCTTCTGTTTAACTTTCCTAATTCTGGCTTCTTTCTTTTATGTTCTATCTCTGCTTTCATCCCTTGCCTCTCTCTTTCTACTATGTATTCTTCCGTTCCTTTTCTATTTATTGCAAGGTAAGTTCTAGCACTTTGGTTATCCTTTTATATCCTGTTTTGTCAGTGGAAGTGATATTTCCGTAAGATAAGCAGGCTTTACTATTCTGGTGTCATGTGAACCACAGTGGTACAGTTATTAACAGCGCTTTGTAAACCAAAAGTCAAAAAGCTGGAAATCACCTATTTTCCTGGGACCCAAGCACAAAGTAGTCCCCCCTTGAACAATCCCTTTAAAAGCTGTCAAATGATTAGCTATTTTCTGTCATCCTTGGTTGACAGAAGTCGTTACAAAAACTTACAATTTTACATACATACAATATGCATAGAGTATCCTTATGTTATATGGTCATGTTGCATACCCAGGAATTATCTCAAATAAAAAAGAGAGCTGCATTATAGGAAAAAAACAATACTGTCTTTTACAGAATTAGTGGAATCTCATATTGAAAAATTATACTTACACATCCTTTTCCTGAGAGCAAAATAGGACCTTCGGTGTGCTGCCAGAAAAATACAAATCCTAACAAGAAAAGTTTATAATAAAAAATATATTTTTATTGTACAATGGTAAAATTTCCTATAAATAAAGGACCCAAATATAAGAATAAATATATAAAAAAATTACATATCACAACATTATGGACTATATTGTCATATGTCCTATAAAGTCGGATACGGTAACTGTTCTCAAGTCCATAAACCTATGATCCATTCATAAAAAATGATAACATACATTGTAATGCCAAACAGAATCATATAAAATTAACATATCATTATTAAATTCACTTACATATGTAAAGGGATGTAATCTCTGAGTGACTTTTTATAGGATATAACCTGATGAAAGTATTCATGATCTCATCTCAAGAACAAGTGTCCACACATAAGCATCAAACAGTCCAGAACATGCAGTAAAGGAAAGCAGAGGATGCCAGTAGATCCCATGAATGGAAGTAGTGTAGGACTACTTTGTTTATGGGATTATTTTAACATTGTTTGTACATTAAAAATATATTTGTTGGCGGGTTGCATTTTCCAGGCAGGACATTGAAAGTTCTATTTTGTATGGTTTAGTATTTGCTATTAGGAAAAAAACACCTTTGCTTCTTTAAAGAGGGTCTGTGCTGGAAAATCATCTTCCACTTAAAGAATAAGTCCACCTCAGAAATGTTTTTTATTGGGGTGGATCCAGTATACTGCAACACATAGCTATTTTATTTCTCTAAATTATCCCTGCCTACAGCCCCAGCTGGTAGAAATAGAATAAATACATCTGTAGTTAAATATTTAGTAAGGTAAACCTTTGAAAAGTAAACTTAGTACAAAAAAAAAGCCTAGACATATACATCTCTTTACTTCAACTTTAAATGACTGGATGCCCCAGATGTCATTTTTATTGAAGAATTAGTTACTTTCCAAAACTTAGGCATTTGGCAATCAGAAATATGACATTTTTATCTGTACCAAAATGAGTACTATATTGGCATCCAAACAAACTTACATTAGGGGTCAAGAGATGCTTAAAGACTTTTTGCATGTAATTGAGAAATTGTGTTCCAATATACCTGGATTTCCCCACAAGTCCACCAAGTATGCAAAGGGGACGGGCATCAGATTGACACCACCAACACAAGTGAAAAGAGGTTGTGTCTGCTCATTTGCCCATTGCATGATCCAGTAATAGCACATTACCATTTTAAAGTTAGCCATCCTTTAATGTAGATTGACAAGGGTAGTACGAAGGATGATATGCCAGTCTGTGGGGCTAAGTGCTTAAGGTGCAATTGCACTTTCAGTTAAATTTTACTTATTTTATTAACCCCCAGTCCATCTGCCATTCTTATATTTGTATGTCCCTGATCTGGCGAGAGAGTAGATGTGTGACCTCCTTCGTACTGCTCACCCTCTTGTCAGAAGGCGATATGTCAAAGGTCTCAGGCGTGGGTCACAATATGAAATTTATTCATATTTTCCTGCTTTCCTTTTTTGTCTCACTGGGGAACACCCATGCATCCTCCTTCTCCTATTTGATCACATATTGTGTCCACTCCTCCTTTTCCTCCTACCCTGTTCTCCTGATCCTTTAACAGCTAAAATACTGTCAACCTCCCTCACCTTTCCATCCTAGGTACAGCAACTGAAACCCAGAGCTAAGATTGATGGAATGCTTTATTAAATAAACCTGATATAAAACAGTTCCAAAATGTAAGGCGTACAAGGATAGTAATATGTAGGGCAAAGTGAAAGCCAAGCAACCTACTTATTTTCTATCTCAGCTTCTGTGTTCCCACTCTCCTCCAGACCCACACAGCTCACCTTCACTGTCTCTATTTTCTGCTATGACCGCCTTGCTCTTTATTTTTCATAGCAGCTCAGCTCACTAGCATTAAAGCTATTTAGAAACTTTTTTACTTTCAGACAACATTGTTTTTTCAAGTTCTGGAAGTGTGGACGGGTCATAACCAAAGTTTCTGTCCTAGTGACCATTGTAAAAGTAAGAGTGAATCTCCCCAGTGAGAACACAGACAGCAATAAAAAAAAGTCTTCACCCTTGCTTACAGAAAAAACTGCAATAAATGTTTCGGCTCGAGTTTCACTTTAAAAAAGAATGGTCTATGCAAGACCTTTTTTAAACACTGGATATCAAACCTGCAGCTTTTCCATGTTAAAGAAGACAAGATAATGATTAAAAAAACAGTATGCAAATATCCTGAAGAGGTATTGGAGAAGACCTGTCAGCTTCCAAAATGTTCCAATGTTGCTGTAAAAAAATAAATTACAATCCACACATGTGGCACGGCAATATATGACAAGCACATGGAACAGCTATGATGATCACAACAAAAAGTATGTCACTCAGGAAGCCATATTTCTAAACTGTTAACCCCTGCAGTGCAAATATGAATTCTGGCAAGCGTGATTTAGGATAGACAGACTTATCAGCATACAATAATTTAGTTTCTTACCTAGGAAATATATATACTATCCATAACTCATCTTGTTCTTCATGAACACATACTTCTCCATCATATATATTCATAATGACCGGAATTCCGACTATTCTCCCTGAGATATTGGTCTCACATTATGAGACACATCAGGGTCATGGTTCACAGAGGTGAAATAGATCAAATATATTCCTAAAAATAATCCCATGCTGCCAGGAATATATTAAATATATCAGTGGTGACAGTTTCATGCATTCTGACCTTATTCTTTATCTCTTGGTCCTCCTGCAGCAGCTAAGAGTTTGCTGAACAAGAAGACGGATGTTGGAAAGGTAATATTGATATACAGCAATAATCTACAGTATGTCTTCTATAAAATAAACCAATAAACGTGCACAAAAGAGCAAGCATTTACATTACAATGTATTTTAACAACCTCCTTAATTTATGAACAATTTTATCTAGGGGCTCATAAAATACTTTGGTCAAACTTGAGTATTTAGCATCTAAGGACAATTTGGTGACACAGCCCACCTGCTGAACATTCATCTTGTGCTGTTAGCTACTCTACCCTATTTTTGTTTCCTAAATTCAAGCCTGCAAAAATGCAGATCATATGTTTGCATTTTCTTTGCACCATCCTCTGTAGTTCACTGAAAGGGATGTTGCTCAACACAGAACCATGTGGCAAAAAAGCTGAAGCACCACCAAGAAGCTACATTAGATACCTGCTTAATGTGGTTGGAATGGATAATATAAACTCGGACTAAAGTAAATTGAGTGGACAGATTTTAGAAATATAGTACAAAGAATTACAAATTACCGTTTGGTTTTACTTTTTACCTTCAGCTCTTTAATACAAGCCTCTGCAGTACTGCTTCAAAATAGTCTTCCTGGCTTGTATATTTTATATGGTGTTACATACAGCAGTCCACACAGTTCTGCTTCATTGCTGACAATCAGTCTCATCTTTGTCTCTCTCCTAAGCCTCAGACGAACAGCACTAAGAACAGCGCTGGAGTGACTAGTCCGAAGGGGCCTATTCCACCAGCTGCCTTGGTATGAGAAGTGGGTTAGAATGAACCACACTGTTTGTTCATCTGTGATATTTTGTGGGATGCAAAACTGTTGGGGCGAAGGCGGGTATAAGGGCATTTTCTGCCTTGTCTGTAAATGGAGTGCTGCCTTCTTCCTGTCTATTTTTTGGAAAGTTTGTTTTGTGTTCTTTGGAGTTCAGACATTTGTGGTTTGTCTCAGGAAGGTCTATCTGTGGGCTTAGGGATACGTGTTTTTAATTTGTTTGTGGTTCCGAAAAGTTTGTGGTCTGTCTTTGGAGCGGGAAGTCTGTTATCTGTCTGTGGCTTAGATTAGTCTGTAATCTTTCTGTGGGGTAGTTTGAGGTCTGTGATTTGTGAAGCAGTCTTTACATGCCCTGCCGCTCTTCCATCTTCTCAGTCCTGCTACCCTGTCATCTCTCCTCCCATCCTCTCCTTGACCTCTCCACATCCCTGACACCCCAATTCCTTACTCCTCTTCTTATCCCCTACCTTTTCTTGTTCTCTCCTCCTTCCCATTTCTCATTCTTTCTTCCTCTGTAGGAGCCTCAAACCACAGTAATTCATAACCTGGTGGACGGGATAAAGGTATTTGCCATATCTTTACCTCTCTCTTCATGTGTCATGTTTCATGCACCTCTTTACTCTGGAGGCACCAGAGGAAGGGCTGTGTGAGAGATTCTCACCATAGTATACGTGGTGTAATTCTAAACATAGCCACTAGTTGGTGCATTGTGTTGTAATGCATACACAAATATTTTACTACAGACATATTGCTGGCAGGGGTCTTGTTTGCGTTATGATAAAAGTTTGATTGGTAGACTCTAGTGATGAGATGCTTTAGCTGAGAAAACAAGATGTGCTACATTCGATCCCTAATGTTTTTTTGTTGATGTGAAGTATAAATCTGATATTTTGGGAGAGGCATTGTGTTGTGTATATCAAGCATTTCTATGTATTTTTTTCTGATGGGGGAGGGGGTTATTTATTGGCAAAACAGCAGTATATTTTAGGTGCATCAAAACAATAAAATGGCCTCATTAAGAGTGAAAGTTATGACCTGACAACTGCTACCATGCGGCAGTTGACAAAGTACTGTTATGTTTGTATCCACTTATCTGTATGTTATTATTCTCAGTTCATGTTGGTGGAAAAAACAGAGCAAAAGTATAGCTGCTAACTAGATCATATAGAGGGAAACTAACGGGAAACTGGTGCAAAGTAGATAGACCTGCTTCAGGTCTGTGTGCGTTACCTATGCCAGTTTCTATTTCAGAGTAAAACAGAAAGTGGAGTTGGTTCTGCATGCTGTTATGCCTGGACTATTAATTTTAACTTCTGGCTCAAACGACTTATAATCATAAGAGTACATTATTAAAACAGCACATATTACTGTTAAAAAAAAAAAAGAATAAGAAGCAAAATATGATGTGCCAGGATAGGCGTTTCAGCTCTATGTCCTCTGACCACACACCGGTAGCTGTGCGTTCAGTGCGGCTACTGATGTACATCAGTCTTAATTGTAATTTAGGTTTTGGCTTTTAACTGTGTTGATCCATTTACAAATAACATATTTACTTAAAGAGGTCAAAAACTAAGCTAAACCTAGCTTAGTTAATGTGGTAAAATATCAATTTTGCAAAGAATCACATGCAAGGAAAATACATTAAAAAACAGTATTTTTGCTTGCACATGGTTGGATGATGAAAGTCAACAGAATTCTGCCTTGCAAAGTGAACAGCCTATATGTAGCAACTACTCAAAATCCAAATGATATTTTTTCTAATGAACTATTGAAAGATCATATTGTATTGATTCACCTTTTTCACCATGCATGTCCTTAGGTAACTATAGATTGAATAACCACTTGCCCTCGGGAAGATTTACCCCCCTTAATGACCAGGCTATTTTTTTGCTGTTCGGCACTGCGCTAGTTCAACTGGTAATTGCGCAGTCATGCAACACTGTACCAAAACAAAATGTATGTCATTTTTCACACAAAATAGAACTTTATTTTGGTAGTATTGGATCACCACTGGCGTTTTTTTTGTGATATAAACAAAAAAAAACAACATTTTCTACTTTCAGTTATGTAAAATATCCAGTAAACTCCAGGTTACTCATAAATATAGGCCAAAATGTATTCTGCTACATGTCTTTGGTAAAAAAAAAAATCCCAATACGTGTATATCAATTTGTTTGTGTGAAAGGTATAGCGTCTACAAACTATGGTATATATATATTGGAATTTACGCAGCTTTTACTTTCTGACTGCCTATCACATTTTTTGAGGTACTAAAATGCTAGGGCAGTACAAACAACCCCTCCCCTCAAATTACCCCTTTTTGGAAAGTAGACACTCCAAGGAATTTGCTGAGAGGCATGCTGAGTCCATGGAAGATTTTATTTTTTGTCACAAATTTTTGGAAAATGACAAAACAATTGTTTTTTTTTTTACGCAAAGTTGGCACTTAAATGACAAAATGACAAAACAATTGTTTTTTTTTTTTACGCAAAGTTAGCGCTTAAATGATATATTGCTCATGCATGCCATGGGTATATGTGGAATAACACCCCAAAACACATTCTGCTACTTCTCCCAAGTATGGAGATACCACATGTGAGAGACTTTTTGATTGATTCATAACAACTTTGTTGTCATTGTGATCATGTGATCGCATAGCGATCACATGATCACCGGGTCCTGTTCACTGGGATCTTAATTCAGCAGATGTGGGGGGGAGGCAAAGAGCCCCCCCATGTTGGAACAACACCAGCAACATACAGGTACGTCGCTGTTCCTGTAGCTTCCGTCCGTCGTCAGTACATTGCGGGCGGGCGGAAAGTGACTCTAAACAATATCCTTATTTTCCAAAATCATCCTTACATATCTACTACTTAATGACCCTGTAATCCATTTTTCATTAAAAAAAATGTTCCTCCTCCTTGTAACATCCTTCACAAGCTACCAAATCTCTTCTTTCCTCTTCACTTCTATTTGTTTAAAAGGTGCAGTGCATCTTATTTGCAGTTACATGCACATCTCTATGCATACTACAGATCCCATAGTCTACAATCCATAGTCTCTAGTTCTTCTCAGGAGCAAGCAAGAGAATGATAATGTCCCTACACACAGTGGGGCCATAAACAAAGAATGTAGCTACCCTCTAACAGGAAGTTGGATCACAGCAGCAAAAAAACAAAGGATTCTGGAGTGGAGATTTTGAGGATGCTGAGAACAATAGAGGGTACCTTTTTGAATTAATAATACATACTTGATTGGAAACTTATGTATTTAATAAATATATACAGTGTGTGTGTGTATATATATATATATATATATATATATATAAATAATTTTTTTTGTCACTTTAAGCATCTTTCCATTTTCTCTTGTCCCTTTAATCCCATAAATTAACCTGTGCCTCAACAAACGCATTTGGCTCTTTGTTACTCACTTACAGTGATTGCGAACCCTCACCTAGTAACACAACCCATTCAAGTTTAAAATAGAAATGAAAGGCAAAACATTTCTGTATAGATGTAAAAAAACATTATATACACTTTTTTTTCCTTTTTTATTAAAACTGGGGAAGGAGAAACAGCAGAACACTGATCTTCCCAGTAAGGTTATGTGGGGCAGGGGGGGGGGTGGGGGTGTTGTCAGCAAAAGCCTGATCATTGGAGGAGAGCACACTGAGTTCCCAGCACAGCTAGAGAACTGACCATCCTGTGCTATCATGCCTAGTGTAGTCAGTTTTTAATAGGAAAGCAGAGTGACTGGCAGGAACACCAGAGATTTCACACAAAGGAAGCAATACAAAGAAAACAGGATATTTTTTCATACAAGTACATGGTACAACAGGCACATATCAGGATTACATGTGAGAACCTCAGCTGGTGTTCACACAATTAGGTTCAAGTAGGCAGCACCATTGAAAGCAATGGGAGGCTGCCGGCTCTTGCAGCTAATCACTCTCGCTCCCATGGCCAATTACTCACATGTGAGTGGGCGTGATTAGCTGCAAGAGCTGACAGCCTCTCATTGTTTTCAGTAGGGCTGCCTACTCACAGCTAATCCTGGGAACTCCCGCTGGGGCTCTCTCATGTAATAGCCAACAGGATGCATTTGCAGGTGTCAATGCATCCTTAATCAGGGCTGGACAAACCATTGGAATGTTCGTGTGCATCTTTTTCAGGCCTGTTCTGCTGTTGCCAATGAAAACTGATATTCCCTCCTGTTTTAAAATAACCAGATGGCTACTAAATTGAACTGACTGAATACTGAACTCTGCAACAATGTGCCCAAACCTCATTTAGATTTGTTTTGGAAGTCAGCTCTACCACAAACATTTTTGGAATATAGTGGTATGTTAAATTCCTCACCAGCTTTCAAAACCTTTCAGAGATAGTGGTAGAGATCCTGGTAGTACTACCATGCCATAAGACCATAGCTAAGATTCAAATTCCTCACACCTGGTTTGCACAGTTGTTTTTGGAAGTAATGTTTGGGAGAAACTAACATTTCTGGTGGGAAATCTCTTGTCACTTGAGTCTCTGATTGTGTTATCAGAAGACAGCAAGTGAGTCAACTTGCAATATGCAAACATCTGATTTGAGTGGAGTTGATATTTAGAGGTTTGTGCTAAAGGATGAAAAGTTCTAGTCCATCAGGTTAGGTTTGTGTTACAATCCTGGAGTTAAAATAGTTTTTAGTCATAACTCATTACATTTGTGTATGTGATAGTTTTGGAAGTACTTGTAACCATGGTTCTCCTTTTGTCTCTTTTTCTACCATTTCCTTGTCTCACATAGGAGTCATCAGACAGTACACATACAAACCCCGAGGATGAAGAAATGAAAGGTATTGTAGCTCTAGCCAAATAAAATGCTCCTCATCTTACTACCATTGAATGAAGTAAGTCTTTTCATGTGTCCACCTACTTCTTTGAATATACCATCTGGTTACATCAGTTCATATCCTATTCCATCTACATCTTCTATACCCATTCCAGCTCTTCAGTGTATCCATATATTAAATTGTATAGTTTGTCTCTCCGAAACACTTGCTGATTCTTGATAAGAACAATTCTAACATGCAAATAACCTAAACAAACTCATGCACTTTATTAGGGTCATCTCTATTGCCATGTTGTTTTCTGTTTATCATACCTCCCTCAAATTATTTTTTATGGGGTTCATCCTATAGGACTCAAACTGCTGATTCAAAATGGTACCACAGCTATAACTTAAGTTGTCTGCCCACCAACTTGCAGGGAAAGAGTAAATACTGGTAGAGAGGTTGGAAGTTACTTATAAATGGTAAATGGTGGTCAGATGTGCAGGTTCAAAATCCCTGCTGAAAGATTTTTTTTTTTTACAAATATGTATGTTTGTGTCAACTAAATGTGCATGGTTTTATCTGTTGAGGAGGAGGAGCAGCACTGTTAGACACTTCCTATTCTGCATAATCTCAGTGAAGACAATAATAATTGGCTGGGAAATTCCACCTCGGCTAAGTGATTCATCTCTCTCAAGAAAGCTGAGGGTTATGGTTGTTTTAATGAGTACTCAGACATAAATAAAATGTAGAGTATTGGATGATTAAACATTTAGGGCTCATTCAGATGGCCAATTTGTGGCATCCTCCTAGCAGAGACTCTGACAGTGTGCATCCACTTTGGAGATGTGTGAAGGCAGCTCATAGAAGTGGATATACACACAGTGGTTGCACAGACATAATCGCATGTCAAAGTTTGGCATGTGGACATGAGTAGGTGCACAGATTGGAATGCAGCTCTTCTGCGTTCAGGTCCTGCCTGCATGTCAGACTTTGACATGTGATTGAGTGTGTGCAGCCACTGTGTATGCATCCACTTCTATGGGCTACCTGCATGTATCTCCGAAGTGGATGCACACACAGCTGGCAGTGGCTCTGCTTGGAGGACAGTACTAAATGTCCAACTGAATGAGCCCTTAATTTGCTACTAATCTTTTATTTTGGCATTTGCAAAAGGGTATTTCCTGCTTTCTAGTGTGCAAACTATTTACAGAACAGTCTAAGGCTAAAAGGTAGTAAAAACCTCCTTATAGGTACAGGAGATAGAAACGCTTTCAAAAACATGCAGTTACATGAAAGGGGTAACACAAACAAAGCAGAATACTGGGTTTTGGGGCAAATGCAAAATACAGTATATTAGCTTTATATATTATGACAATGGCTGTTCTGGAACTGAGAAGATATTTCACTGAAATAGTTGTTTTTCAGTGTGAAAGAACCATTTACAACTGGCCACTGCAAGCATCTTGACTTGGGGCATCAGCAATACAAAAATTCTGATTGTTACATGTGTGCTGCATTCTGTCCCAACTCTTTTCTCTGTTTCCAGCTTCATGAATTTAAAATTAATCCTGTAATTCTGTTAGAGGTCTTGATAAAGAGTTAATGTACTGTATGTATCATGGAGTTTGGTGGAGCTACTGTGTCACTAAGGGCAACAGCTGACTAACATGCAATATTTCTGTAATTCCACAGACAGATGGTCAGTCCAAACTGCAGACAGTGGGAGAGACAGCAGACTTAAGCCTAGTACACACAATGAGAAAACCACATGGAAAATACCACTTTCAGAGTGATTGTCCGATAATCTGATCGTTAGTACACAGCTTTGGAAAGCCGATCACCACAGTTCATGTGAAATTATCTGAAGGGACAAGCATGAAAATTTTTCCCGTACAATACCAGAAAGAACTATTTTCATTTAATCAGTACAGTAGTCGTCTGAAAAAAAATGAGTAACCAAAATCACACATGCTTGAAAACAAAAAATACATTACAAGTCAATACATTACAGTACACTTCCAAAGTTGTATGCTGTCGTATGACAATTTAGTAACCTCTTCATTTTCGATTAGAGACTACATGCAAAAAAAAATGGACAATGTGAAGCCATTTATCAAATGCGCATTTTCCGGAAACAAAAATACACTTAAATGAATATTTAATGAGCTTATATGAACACGAAAACAACATAATACCCACTTTTTTGATAAAATATAAAAGGTGATGTTGCGCAGTGTAAACAGATACCAATAATGTCAAGACTTAAACTGCACACAACTTAGAAATGGCAACAAACTACCGTACCTAAAATTATCCAGAGGCGACGTTTTAAAAGCCTTTACAGGTTTACAGTTTATAGTTAAATGTGAGCACTGGCACTAGAATTATTGTTCTCAGAAATACCTCATGTGTGATGCAAACACCGTTTACATGCGTGCTGTACCTCTGTGCCTGTTTAACCGCTTTCCTGTCGCTCTATACAGGGCCATCCAGAGCAGTGTCATTACAGTGAAGCACACAGACACCGCCCCCAGTAAAACACTCCCTGCACACAGTTAACCCTTTGATCGCCCCTCATGTTAAGCCCTTGCTGTCCAGTACCATTAGTACAATGTCAATGCTTTTTTTTTTAACACTGATCACTGTATTGGTGTCACTGGGAATGTCAGTGACACCAAGTCAGTTCCTCCCAGTCCCGCAGTCCTGCTATAAGTCACTGATCGCATAGTAAAAAAAATTTGTAAATGCTTTAACTTTCACGTAAACCAATTAATTTACACGTACTGGGATTTGTTTTAGCAAAGACATGTAACAGAATACAATTTGGCCTAAATTTATAATGAAATTTGATTTTTTAAATTTTTTTTTCTGGACATGTTTAATAGCAAAAAGTCAAAAACATACAGTGGGGATCGAAAGTTTGGGCTCCCCAGCTAAAAATTTGTATTAATGTGCATAAAGAAGCCAAGGAAAGATGGAAAAATCTCCAAAAGGCATCAAATTACAGATTAGACATTCTTATAATATGTCAACAAAAGTTAGATTTTATTTCCATCATTTACACTTTCAAAATAACACAAAACAAAAAAATGGCGTCTGCAAAAGTTTGGGCACCCTGCAGAGTTAATATCTTGTACTGCCCCCTTTGGCAAGTATCACAGCTTGTAAACGCTTTTTGTAGCCAGCCAAGAGTCTTTCAATTCGTGTTTGAGGTATCTTTGCCCATTCTTCCTTACAAAAGTCTTCCAGTTCTTTGAGATTTCTGGGCTGTCTGTCACACACTGCTCTTTTAAGGTCTATCCATAAGTTTTCAATTATGTTGAGGTCAGGAGATTGTGAAGGCCATGGCAAAACCTTCAGTTTACGCCTGATACAATTTTGGGCATCTCTAGTTTCCTCCCTACTGGTATTTTTCCTCCCTAGATTGGGCCATTGATAACAGGGTCTCATAAATCACCTTTTTTACCTTTGTTTCTGATCACCCAATACTATCAAACAGAAGTACCATATGCTAAGGCCACTTATGGTATTAAAGAACCAAAAATTTGTTTATTTGATACCTTTCTGTACATGTATATGATAGCTTTAAATCTAGCTTTAATAGCCTGGTTGGACAATGTAACCCATCAAAAAATGACCATTTTCCAACTTTAAAAAAAAAAGCTTGAGTATTTTACACTGGAATAGCCATTTTTACTCAGCAGAAGGGTATACTGGATGTCCTAAGTGTGTGCTTTTATTTTTACCTTAATAATACCCATGTTGTCTTGCAGTTTTCTATGGTCTTAAATTCCTTTTACAAGTCAAATTAAACTCTGCATGTTCAACTCATAACATTTCTACTCCTCACGACTTGCTCTACTTATCCTCTCTTCATAATCATTTTTCCTTCTTTCTCTGTCTGGCTTCACCTCCTCTTCTCTCCCCGTTCTCTCTAGTGCTGAAGTTCTCAGACATTTTAAGCTCAGTGAGGAGGGGTTCGGGGGCCCTGGAAGCTGAGGGACCTCAAGCAGCGGTCGCTCAGCAGCCCCTCTCCCCATCCTTCCCCCATTCACCTCTTGCACAGCGTAAGTAATAGGAGTGGGGCACAGAAATCTGTTAAATTATATGCATAGATAGTCCAGTAAAGAAATCTATTTCCTATTCCTACTTTATTAGAATAAGGATATTATGGGATGCTGCAATTGTTTTTATTTGAATAAATCACATGTAATTTCTAAATGATGTTTAAATGTATTAAGTTAACAAAAAGAAAAACAATATAGTGGAAATGGAAATATTTTAATCCAAGATGTCAATATATTTCATTACAGTTGGTGCTGCAATGGGCAGTGGATTCAGATTAGTTTATTCAGAAGTCCCTTGTGTTTCTGTCAGTTTGTATGTGCGGGGGTTTGGGGTTGGCTTTGCCCCCTACTTGCTTTCTGATGGGTTGAGACTGGCACTGTCCTTGGCTGTTTGTGATGAGATGTTGTTTGTGTTTGTCACTCACATTGCTACTGTGTCTCTGCTCTTTCTGTGTTGATATCTGTCTTCTTTTTTCCCCCTTTTTTCCCTTAACTTGGTTGCTTCCTTAACGTTCTCCCCCTCCCCCCCCCCCCCCAATCTCGATATTTGCTATGGCCCTTCCACTTGATCTTTGCCTTTCTTCTTGGATTTCCAAATCTCTTTCTTTTTCTCTGATTTCCTGTCATTTTTCGCTGATGTTGGTTTTCTTCTTCCATCTTATTTTCATGGTTTCACTACTGCTGCTTTGTGATGTGTCCATAATAACTATTACTGTTTACTTTTTTTTGTTTTTGTATATATCATCTTTCTATCATCTTTATTTCTGTGATTGTGCTACACTCGTGTCCATTCTTCACTTTCTGTTCTTTATCTTCTTACTGCATCTTACCCATCCTTCTTTGGTTCTTGCTATTGTCCTTTTTTTTTTGTTTCTGTTCCTTGCACTTCTTCTTGCTTCCCTCTGTTACCTTTATTTTTTGTGTCTTTATCTCATGCTATCTTGCTTTTAATGTCTATCTTCATTTTACACGTCTATCCTTTTACATTAATTTCTGCCTATGGTTTTTGTCTTTTTATATTTGTCCTTTTTTACCGGTCTCTTTCCACTTTCTCTGTCCCCTTTCCTATACCTGTTTGCTTCTCTATATATCTTGTTCTGCTATGCCTGTCAATGCTTCTCTGATCCTTGTCCTTAAAACTTTCCCGCTTTTTTCTGTCAAATGTCCCTATAACTCGGTCTCTGCTGTTCTGTCTCTTGTCCTACTTCTGTTTCTGCTTTCCTGTCTCTTGTCTCTATTTCTTTCCCTGGTTCCCGTCTCTTTGTCCCCCTCCCAGCTGCTAGATTCACAGATATATTTAACACAGTCAGACGAGGCTCAGAAGCAGAGGGGGTGCAGTATTCCAACACGCAGCATCGGCTCTCCCAGCCCCACCTAAACTCTCCGTTTGTACAGCGTAAGTAGAACTAGCGCATACAAACGCATCTCACATGGGCTCACTCTCCTCCTCCTTCCTTTTAAGACCATTGTCTCTAGCGCCTCACCATATTTTTGTTCTTCTCACAATCCCCTCTTCTGTCAATAATTTTCTCAACAGTGTGTTTATCCTCTCACGAGCTTCTCATCTTCCATATAAAACTTTCTTCCATACATCAACCACTTTTCTTCTCTAGCCAGATGTGTTTATTGTATTCTTTTTTATCTACCATAATCATCATGTATACTTTCTTGCCTTTTATTTCTATAACTGGGACATGTACTTTCTTATCCATTACACAATACTCTTGCTTAACTGTACTTTTGCTAATTATCACCTTTTCCCTTCTGAGTACTATATCAGTCAGCTTCCAATATTTTTTTCCTTTATCCAGGTTTCCTGTCTTTTTCTTTTGCAGTTTTCTCAGTTTATTCCTTATTCTGTACAGTGTTGTTAATTTACTCTTTTTTTGTGTTTACATTTGATTGTCCATTTTCTGTGATATTTTTCCAGTTTTAAGTTACCAGTTGACACGTCGTCATCTCCACACCAGTATTCTTCTTACTTTTTTCTAAGCAGAATGGTTTTTTGTTCCCACAAGTTTAGTAACCCAAATTGTGGTCTTATCTGATCATCTCCAAGTCTCTAAACCAATTAGCGCTAATACTTTAAGCTTTGCTTTTACCAAATTTTCTACGATTTTATTTCGATTTTCATGGGGAAAGGATCACCCAACTATGCATTTAATACAACATCCATTCATAATGCAATATTCTTGATTCTACTATTTTTGAGATTCATTTTTGCCATCCCTTCTAAGGATGCCCCACACAGGGTGCTCTGTTATTTCACGTTGTGTTCTCTAAGTGAAGCTCAAACTTTGATTTTGTTAGAACAACAAATGCTGATATGTCACTATTTTACAAGGCATAAACTAGTGATCCAAGATTCATTTCTAATAAACATAATGTGCACATATACTTACAGTACATACATGTTCAATGAAACATACGTGTATTTGTTGGAGCAACATTTCTTTAGAATGTAAAACCATTACATTCTCAGTATTACTGATTGAGCCTAAGGGTGACCACACAAGCTGCGATTTTCACATGAGATTTTCAAGCAATCTTTAGCTCCATTGAGTTCTGGAGGAAAGTTGTTCAGCATATCCTGAAGTAGAGGGACGGATCTCTATAATCAATCAATTAAAAAGAATTCCATCTATATACAGTTAGGTTCATATATATTTTGACACAGGCACAATTTTTATACTTTTGGCCCTATATGCCACCAGAATAAGTTAAAAGGAAACAATCCAAATGAATTTGAAGTGCAGACGTTCAGCTTTAATTCAAGGGGTTGAACATAAATATCAAATACAAATTTTAGGAACTGCAACCATTTTTATACAGTCCCTCCATTTTCAGGGGCTCGAATGTAATTGGACAAGTAAATATAATCATAAATAAAATGTTCATTTTTAATATTTTGTTGAGAATCCTTTACTGGCAATGACTGCCTGAAGTCTGGAACCCATGGACATTACCAAAAACTGGGTTTCCTCCTTTCTGATGCTTTGCCAGGCTCTAACTGCAGCTGTCTGCAGTTTTTCTTTGTTTGTGGGTCTTTCTGCCTTTAGTTTTGCCTTCAGCAAGTGAACTGCATGCTCAATTGGGTCGAGATCAGGTGATTGAGTCAGCCATTGCAGAATATTCCACTTCTTTTCCTTCAAAAGCTCCTGGGTTGCTTTTGCAGTATATTTTGGATCATTGTCCATCTGTACTGTGAAGCGCCGTCCAATCAACTTTGCTGCATTTGGCAGTATATCTCTAAACACTGCAGGATTCATTCGGCTGCTTCTGTCTTCTGTCACATCATCAATAAAGACCAGTGACCCAGTGCCAATGGAAGCCATGCATGCCCATGCCATCACATTGCCTCCACCATGTTTTACAGATGACGTTGTGTGCTTTGGATCATGAGCTGTTCCAAGCATTCTCCACACTTTTTTCTTCCCGTCATTCTGGTACAGATTAATCTTAGTTTCATCCGTCCAAAGAATGCTTTTCCAGAACTGGTCTGGCTTTTTTAGATTTTTTTTTTGGCAAAGTCTAATCTTCCTTTTCTATTCTTCAGGCTTATGAATGGTTTGCACCTTATGGTGAACCTTCTGTATTTGCTATCATGAAGTGTTCTCTTGATTGTAGACTTTGACAATGATACACCCACCTCCTGGAGAGTGTCCTTCACTTGTCTGGATGTTGTGAATGTATTTTTCTTTACCATAGAGAGGATCCTGCGATCATCTACCACTGTTGTCTTCCGTGGACGTCCATGCGTTTTTATGTTGCTGAGCTCACCAGTGCGTTCTTCTTTCCTCAGAATGTACCAAACTGTTGATTTGGCCACTCCTAATGTTGCTGCTATCTCTCTGATGGATTTGTTTCATTTCTGAAGGCTTACGATTGCCTGTTTCACTTGCATGCAGCTCCTTTGATCTCATGATGTAGGTTTACAGCAATAGATTCCAAATGCAAATACCACACTTAGAATCAACTCCAGATCTTTTACCTGCTTAATTGATGAAGAAATAACGAAGGAGTAACCCACACCTGGCCATGAAACAGCTTTTGATTCAATTGTCCAATTACTTTTGGTCTCTTGAAAAAGGAGAGATGGCTACTCTTAAGAGCTGTAAATCGTAAACCCTTCCTCCAATTTGGATGTACATACCCTCAAATTATACCTGAGAGTGTGCACTTTCAGCCCTTATCCATTATATAACTATAGGTTGAATATGTTTTGGCAAATACCTGAAAAATCTAAAATTGTGCCTGTGTCCAAATATATATGGACCTAACTGTATGGCCATTCTAACATTTGGATGCCATTTATACATATTTACATGAACAGGTGGATATAATATCTGACTTTTACTTCTTGATTTGACATACTGAGCCCAAATTCCACACTTTGGTCCCTGCAGTTGTTTGCATCTGTTGAACTGAAGATTGCAACTTTTTTTTTGTTGTTGTTTAGCATCTCTTTCATACTTTTATTTGCCTCCAGACATTCAACAAACCCCTTTTTTCTGCAGTATTTTTCTCGCTATCTTCTGTTTAGTTTAACTAACCACTTTGTTTTCCAGCTCGAAAACAGGAGATCATTAAAATAACAGAGCAGCTGATTGAGGCAGTGAATAATGGAGACTTCGAAGCATATGCGTGAGTTGCTGTGCTTTGTTACTAACATATACTGTACTGAGCTTTACTACTAACATACATTACAGTCATGAATAATAGAGAGTTGGGAAAACAAAAGAAAATGGGAAATAGTCAATATAAACTATTGTACCACTGAACCACTATACACTTAAAAGGTTAGTTCACCTTTCCTGCACATTTATAACAAACCCCCATGTATTTCAGCATCCCCAGCTCATTACATTACGGAGCTTTTTTAAAAAGGTGCTCCGTTTCCACTCTATATCTGTGGGGTCTGCGCTGCTTGTCTGCCAAAACTCCCAAGTAGCTGAACCCCCTCCATGTAGAACAGGTTGGGAGTTTAAAGCGCACTCCCAGCAAGTGCTTCGGCTCATTCAAATTGCGTGAACACAGACCATTCTTTGTCCCGCTAGCAGTGGCTTTCGCATAAATCTGAGATCGCCTGCTGCTAGAAGGAGAGAGAGTACATGCAGTTTGAACGAGCCAGAGCTCCAGCTGGGGCACACTTCCAACCTCTGGCCTGTCCTGCCATTTAGGCAGAACAGAGGAGGTTCAGCAACCTGCAAATTTTTAAGAAAAGGCTGAACATGGCCTAAATAAATGGAATGGAAAAGGGTCAGCTTTTTTAAAAAGCCTATGTAATGAGCTGGGAATGCTGGAATGCATGGGGTTTTGTTGTGAATATGAAGGAAAGGCAAGCTAACCCCCTAAGAAAATGTTCAATATTGATTTTACCTAACTGACTTCTTTGTGCACATGGAATGAGCCAGTAAATAATTGTGTCTCCTGTCAGCTCTAAGCCCTAGAATTGAGCAATGACCACTGATTGCTCAGTTCTTGGTCTGCTCTAAGCAGAGAGTGGTGACTGTCAGTCACGCTTCCTTCTCTGCCCCTCCAGCACTCTCTGGAGTGCTGGGCTGGGGAAAGGGTGGGAGCAGCTGGCTCAGGCACTTAATGGTGTGCTGAGAGGCTGAGCCAGCTGCCAATCAGGCATGTGGGTGGATACTGACAATATGGCCAGGATCCTTCAAAAGCCTGGAGCGACTCTGTGACATCAGCCAACAGCTGAATTTAGCTCGCTGTCAGCTGAATCTGGGTCACAGAAGGGCACAAGTGCACTCCTGTGACCCAGAAGAAAATTATGGCCATTAAAAGCTTTGATGCATGCTTTAAGCATGATGACATAATTTTCGGTCCTGAAACATTGAAATTGTAATAATTCAGCTGTGCATGAAGATTGAATACAGGATCAGCTACTCCCATTAGTGTTATGTGATTGTAAGCAGACTAGCTGGTCTTCTAGGTTAATTTATAATACTAAATGCCAGTAGCTGTTGGTAGATTTTGCAGAGGAAGTTCAAATGCTAATTTAATAATTATCTAAAAAAAACTTTTAAATGAACAAGAGACAAAGGAACCAGCTGGGCAATACCTTGTATTAATTTAGGGTTAGAGAAAACATGCATATTTTTTAATAAACTAATCCCTTTTTTTCTAGGAAAATTTGTGACCCTGGATTGACTACGTTTGAGCCAGAAGCTCTGGGTAACCTTGTTGAGGGGATAGATTTTCATCGATTTTACTTCGAAAACTGTAAGGAGACAATGCAGGGAGATTTCACAATGATGTCACTTTCTGTACCAATAGCAATTATTTTCTTTTTGGGGGGAGTGGGTGAAAATGTAAAAAAAAAGGCTCCTGTTTACCCAACTGCACTGTCTTTTTACAAAAATATTATAAACTGAATCGTTTGATTCTGT